GTGGAGAGGTTTTAGCTGAGGACTGTAGGTGATGGCCAGTGGAGTTCTATTGGTTTCTTTCTTGGGCTTGTCTTGCAGCAGGAGGCTTCTGGGTACATGTCTGGCTCTGTTGATTTGTTTCCTTATTTCCTCGTGCAGGTATCATAGTTTTGAGAATGCTTGGTGAAGATCTTGTAGGTGTTGGTCTCTGTCTGAGGGGTTGGAGCAAATGCGGTTATACCTCAGCGCTTGGCTGTAGATGATGGATTATGGTGTTTCCGGGATGGAAGCTGGAGGCATGAAGGTAGGCATAGTGGTCGGTGGATTTTCGGTATAGGATGGTATTGTGAGTTACAGGTATGCATGATATATCTGTTTCAAAACTTATGCTGTGTTTCTGGGTGACACCCCCAGATAGATTGGCATCAGCACTACCCTAGCCTGTTCAATGGCCCATCAAGGGTCATCAGCTATACAATGAACCCATTGAAAAAGCCAGGGACTACACCTTATAAGTCAGCAAACCATGTAGGGGCTTGAACTTTATGGACAGAACTCTAAGGCTTCTCCATGCCATGTGCTGGGCAGCTTGTGTTTGAAACAAAGGATGCACAAGCCACATGGTAAAAGACTATAAAAGGCAGCTGCATCTTCTCCATTTTGTCTTCATTCCTGCTTCTTACCTCTGGAGGAACTTTTCTACAAACGAAGCTCTGAAGGAAGGACTGAATGACCCATCCCAGCTGTGGACGTGTTCCAGAGGGACTTTCAAGCCAGCAAACTCACCAATACGGCTAAGAACATGATATATGGACTTTGAAGTCTGGGTATGTATCTGACTGCTTCACCACTTAACAACTCTCTTCTTGTTCTTTCTTTTTTCTTTATAATAATCGTTAGTTTTAGACACTAAAGGATTGATTAGCAGCATGGTATTTTGGGTAAGTTCCAAACTAATATTGACCTGGTAACATGGCTGGCCCTTTGGGGTCAGAACATTTTGTATATGTGAGCAGAGCTTTTAAACAACTTCTCACTGTACTGGACCTAGGTCCTGACTGGGGGCCAGAGAACTGGAATGTAATAAAGGCAGCTGTGTGATTCAGTGTTAACCATCAGTTTTGGGAGTATCTGCTCTCCCTTTTGCAGCCTGCCCTGACCTTGACATTTTCAGTGCGGGCTGCCCTGGCACCCCAGGTCACATAAGGATAGGTGCCTTACACCCTGAGCCCTTGGAAGGAAAAGGGTGGGGGTGCGTAAATTGACTGGTTCATGCCTTGAGCCCTCCGTAGGGTATAGGCAGTGTGCTCTAGATTGTGCAGGTAACACTGCCTTCCTCTCATTCACCCCCACGAGCCTCCCCCCCCAGCTCTCCTGAAACCTGGCCTTGTCCTCTCTATGGACACTGGCCCTTCAGCTCCAGCTCCCCTCTTCTAAGAGCTGAGGGAAGGCTGGGTTGGGCACAGGCAGCCCCCAAGCTGGGCTGTAGGGAAATGACAATGCCCAGGCGGGGCAGAAGGGATGGCATGTGCCAGCCAGGCTCCACTCAGAGAAACCACTAGCACAGCTCAGCTTTGGGGGTTGTTTATTAGAGCAGCTGGGTGGAGATCCAGCAAATGCATGATGCATCCCCCTGTGGGGACAGGCAGAATAGGGGTCAGATCCCCATGGGCACAGTGAGTGTTGGAGGGAACAGCATGGCTGGCTACAGCCCAAGACCCATGTCCTACTCAGGCCAGCACAGTCACATGCAGCCAGGAAGGATGGAAGGAAGCAAGCACGTGGCCAGGAAAGATGGCCCAGGGGGAGGGCACTAGGCTGGCATTCAGGAGACCAGGGCTCATGTCCCAGTTCTGCTACAAACTCCTTATGTGACCCTGGGCAAGTCTCTCTGGACCTCGGTTCCCAGACGGATGCTGGGGCCAGCCATTCCCAGGGTAGGCACGAGGTTACATGTGGCGAAGGCTGGAAGGTGCTCAGCTACTCTAGCCCCCTTGGAGAGAACATGGGGAGGGGCCAGGTGTTCACCTCCTGCCACTGTCCTGAATACCAGGGAAAGTGGCAGTCATGCCATTGCCCCACATCAGGTGCCAGCACTCTCCACTGCACCTCCTGGGAGAGTTAATGGCACAAAGTGGGGCTCGGTTGCTGCAGCGGTTCCCAAGACACACCCCATCCCCTGCTTTTTTGAGCAGGCCCGTGAGCCCGCGAACCAGCCCACACCCGTGTTACCAAGGGACTGGGTGCTCAGGAGCAGCACACAGGGCTGCTGGGAATCTTGCCCAGCACTGCAGGAGAGAGAGACAACCCCCAGTACCTGGTGTGTGTGTGCGTAGGGGGGGCGCTCCAGGCCATGATCCAGGGGCCCGGGGGAAGGTGCTCCAGGCTGGGATCCAGGAGACCAAGAGCTCAAATCTCTTCTGCATGGCTGCTATTTACTCCATGATTGGAAGTGAGCATCTGGGAGCACCCTGGGGCCATCAGAGGGGCTAGGTGACAAGCTGCCCATCTTCACAGAGTTTGCACATTTATGGGTCAGGAGCCAATTGGGGCTGGGAGTGATGGGGGGTGTCTGGACTGTGTTCTGTGGTAGCATACTTTGATTGCCATTGGTGCTGAGGCTCCCAAGAGCCCGCAGACAGCTCTCCCCATCCCAGGCTCTGAGCCCTGCAACCTTGCTAAAATCCACAGCCAGGAAGGCTCCAACCGACAGTCCTTCCTCCCCCCCTCGCCATGCCCCTGCAGCCCCACTACCATGAAGGGAAGGTGGTAGGGCCCCAGCCCTGTACCCTACCAGAACAGGGAGAACAGACAAAAACTGCCAAAGTAGCCCTGTGGCTTTTGGGTAGCACCTCCTACTGCACAGCCATGGGGAATGGCAAAAAACAGGGAACATCACAGTCCCTTCCCTGTCCCATGCCTGCAGCACACCAGCCCCACGCTGAGCCCCAGGCAGCTCCAAGCTCGGAGGAGCAGGGCTCTGGTGCAACATTCAGGGCAGTAACTCTGTTCCCAGAGCCCAGCACATCCCTTGAGCTTCGCCCACCTCAGGATTATTGGCACCCCAGATGTCACTGGAAGCAGGATTCGTCTGAAATTTCCGGGGGGGGGGGGGGGGCGCTCTGCCAAACACCTGCAATGTGATTTGATCAGGAGGCTGGGGGACATGCCTGCCAGGCCCAGAACAGGGAGTTTATGCAGTGCCAGGAGAAGAGGAAGTCCGCAGGCCCCAGGGAGATGCAGATGGAGGAATCTGGCCAGCACCAAGGAGCCAAGAAGCCCAGGAGATGCTGTGGGGAAGGCTGAGGGAGCACAGAACAGGGAGGGAGAGAAAACAACCCTCTTGACTTGGGAGAGCTGAGGCAGACTCTGATCAGCGATGAAGGAAACGTGCTGTGCAGATGGCAAGTTCAGGGCAGCCAGCCTGGGCCAGAGCTCAGGTGTAGGAGAGCAGATTGATGTCGTAACAGCCATCCACCTGGAACACAGAGACCAGCGTCACTCCCATCAGGGTATGCCACTGCCTCCTGCTGGGGCTGGCTGGGACTGCAGGAGCAGAGAGCCCCGACACACCCCCTAGGGGCTGCTGCTTGGACTGCAGGAGCCGAGAGACCCTGACGCGCCCTGTAGGGGCCGCTGCTGGGACTGCAGGCGCCCACAGCACCCAACACATCCCCTTGGGGCCACTGCTGGGACTGCAGGTGCCCACAGCCTCTGACGTGCCTGCTAGGGACCTCTGCTGGGACTGCAGGAGCCGAGAGCCCCCATGCAGCCTACCTCCTCCATTACAGTGGAATTGGAGCTGGAACATCAGAGAGGCTGGGACTGGGGGAGGTGAGAGTTCCCTACCTCCAATACTCCTGAACCTGGAACCCCCAGGAGCTTTCCCAGCAGTTTGATGGCATTTCGTACAGCATGGCCAGCTGGGAGCAGCTCAGGGTGACTGCAGATGCTGCCAGTGCCCAAAATACATCATGCCCCTTCGGCGCATGCCAGGCCAAACAGCAAGCCCAGAGCAGGGGGCCAGCCCCTGTGGGCAATGAACAGAGCTAACTGGAAACTAACGTCAAAACGCCCGATTCGGGCTGCCGTCTGGTTAGCGCGGATCATCTCCGTTAGTACCCACAGCTGCTGGACTTCTGTAGACACCTTTTCCGGGTCGGGGACACCCTGCAGACAAGCAACGGTTATTGAGATGGGTGTTCCTGAAGGCAGCTCCAGACAGCTGGGATAACCCTCACTTCCCCGCTGCCCATGGGACAAGTGCTCTCTGGTTACCCTGCTCTCCCCCAAGCCCACTTCATCTCATTGCTCCACTCTGCTTTGTCTGCTTTCAGACGGTGAGCCCTTGGGGCAGCACCTGGCACAGGGGGGCCTCCAGGTCCTACTGCAGTATAGCCAGCAGTCTGTGCACACAACCCCCGCCCAGTGCATGAGGCACCGTTGCTCTCCCAGAAAACCACAAAGCAGGGGATGGACTGGGAAGGCATCACACACGACACCTCTGACTGCTCCAGCCAGCGGCACACGTCACTGCCAGGACTCTGCCCCAGCCAGGCCTGCCATTCGAGCTCCCTACTCGCTGCTCTGGAACATCACACCCCTTCCTGATGGGCTGGATGCTGCAGGACCAGCCTGGCCAGGGGCCTACTCATCCCAGCTGAGCTGCCCAGCTGATTCAGGAGCATTCTCTGGCTGCACGGTCAGAGAGCTCCGGTCTGTGTCGAATCTGCAGCAGCTGCTTCCTGGAAGATCCTGGCTGCCATGAGCCATGGTGTCCCCAGCTGAGCACGTCAAGCTCGGTGTCTGTTGGCAAGTGTGCCCGGAACCGACAGCCAGGACATCAAATCCAAGCCGCTGTTAATTAACAAAATCAAACTAATTGCATGGCACACACAGTGCTGGAGAGGCCACAGCCAGGAGACTCTAGACGGGAACTCAGGGGAACGGGGGAGAGCTGAATAGAATTTAGAAATGAATTCGCCATTTTCCCCAAAACTCTTGAAAATTCCAGCTTGCCTCAGGTTGCGCTGACAGCCCAGTCGACCCACTCAGCTCCAACGCCTTCCAAGTGCCTCCTGAGCGTGGCTTTGCCCAGGGTGGTCCAAGAGCACAGCCCCAGGCACATCCTCATTCCATGGCATGCACCCAGAGCTGCCACCGCCTGGCGTTCACAAACAGCCCCAGTGGCCACCGGAACACCAACCTCACAGGCCTAAGGTGCATCCTGCAGCAAAGGGCTGAGGACACAGCCCTGGGGCACCCCATTTAAGAAAAGAAACTGAGTGCTGAGGAGCTAGAGCACAGCAATAGCACCGGGGTCAGGCAGATCAGTGCAGGTACCGGGCCCCACATGTGCAGTGCAAGATCTGGGCCAGGAATCACAACTGGCCGAATATCACAGAGCTGGATCTCCACACCCTCGGCAGGCTCTCTCTGCACTAGTTTGCATGCAGGTGTTTCAAACTGGGCCCTCCTTGGCTGAGTCGCACTGCGCTACTGGGGTCTCCAACCCACCACTCAGCTGTGCTGTGCCACTGGGTCCCGTCCCCCCCACTCAGTGCTCCCAGGCCCCCCTCCCCCCCACTGGGGTATCCAACCCTCCACTCAGCCACGCTGCGCCACCGGGTCCCCCGCGGGAGTCTCCAACCCTCCACTCAGCACCACTGGGGTTCTCCCCCCCGACTGGGGACTCCAACCCCCCATCTCAGCCACCCAACCCCGGTCACCCCCTGGTTCTCGCCGCCCGATCCCGGTCGCCCATGCAGTAGAGCCTCTCAGAGCAGAACTCCCAGGCTGCGTGCTTTCCCAAGCTCTCCACCCATCACAACAGAGCCCGCAGGGCGCTCGCAGCCCAGGAGAGCTTTACAGAGAGCTGAAATCCACAGCACTGTCTGTCTAATGTGCGAGGAGACACTGCTGCTCACCGCATTTTCCTGGTCTTTGAACAAGGCCGGCAGGGGTTTTCTCTCTTATAACAACCGCTGTTGGATTTCCGCTTGTGGCCCGCAAGGAAGCTGAGTGCCAGCGACATGCCCAGTCCAAATGCTCTGTGGACTGTGCTGGCGAAGTCCCAGCTGCTGGAGGCTCAACTGCTGGCTGGCCCACCAGAGTCAGGGTAAGCCCCCCCCCCCCAACACCTGGTTGATAGATCTGGCCTTTTGCTGTTTGCAAACTGCCCAAGCAGGTGAGAAGCACCCAGGTGTGGTCGGGGGGCCAAGTTATTCAGCAAGCAATTCTCTCTGCAGGCAGCTTGCAAACAGCTCCTTGTGCTGAGCTAGCTAGTGACAGGCATGGGGCTTGTCCCCTGACTGGGGTGGGCTTGTAGAATGAATCAACAGTTGCCTGGATTTCAAATTGCACATTCAAACAGACAGTTGAAATTTGCTCGCTGAGCAGTGTTGGCAGCTGGCCATTAGCCCTTGTGTGTATTCGCACTAGGACACGTGTGCAAGAGGAACACAAACAGGCCATGTGCTCCCGGTGGACAGGGCTAACCTGCACTTCCCAAGTGCAGACTATGGTGCCCATCCCCCTGCCCCAGACATGCAGCTCTCATCTATAACCCGGCATGCTGCCCCCCATTTACCACTCCCCAGAGTCCAGGAGCTCCCCACCACTTCCTGCAGTGCATCAGTGTGCATGCAGATCCCAATGCACCTGGCAGGGATCATGGCCCCCACGAGCCCAGCTCCCACTGTACCCACCTGCCCTGCCCAACTGAGCTGTCTGCTTCAGGGGACATTTCCCCCCATCCCCCGCCAGTCAGGACCCTGCCCGCTGCCCTTCCAGAACACCCCACCACCAGCCGGGACCCCACCTTCTCTCCCTAGAACACCCCACCTCCAACCGGGAACCCACCCGTGGCCCCTCCCCCCAGGACACCCCATTCTCTCCCCCAGGACACCCCACCCGCAATAGGGACCTCACCTGCTGCCCTCTCCCCCCAGGATACCCCAACTCTGGCCGGGACATGCTCACTGCTCCCTGGGAGACCCCAGCTCCAGCGCTGCTCATAAGGAGCCTGCTTACCCCATGCAGGTTTTCTGGCTGCTGCTGGGGGGCCAGGTGGGACAGCCAGGACGGGAAGTCTGTCTGCAGGCTCTGAAAGGGGTCAAAGGTGGCAGATGAGCAGAGCAGAGCCAAGCTCCCCCTCCCCCTCCCTGCCATACAGATGGAGGCAGGCCTGGCTCCTCCGTGCTCACAGGGACAGGCTGCCTGCTGACCCCACTGCTGCATTCAATGCACACTCCTTAGGCCAAGGGAACTGCACTGTAGCCAGAAGCAAAGGGAGTGTGGGTCCAGCCGGAGTGTGCGGCTGCCCCATCTCTGCTCCCTCCCCAGGCCCCCCGGGCAGTCTGCTCCGTCACTGTAATCCTGCTGGTGCAGATGGCCTCAGAGTCACAGCACAGGCAGAAACAACAAGGAGCACAGGCAGGTGATCAGTGCTGGGGCCAGGCCGATGACAGGGGTGCCGCAGGAAACACTCCCTGCGCCGCAGAGACAGAGGCCCCCATGGCCAGGAGCCTGAGACAACTGAGGCCATGCGCCACGGCCCAGACTGCAAACTGCACTTCACTGAGCTCCCCGGGGCCCTGGGGGTAGGGGGTCTGGGGAGAGCCTCACGTGTCAGACCCAGAGTCTGGGGCAGCCCCTGCCAGGAGGGACACGGGGTGGGATTTGGTACCCCCTGCGTCTGCATTCTTGACGGGGGGGCCTTTACAGCACAGCAAGTGAGGGGAGACAGGGTACCCTTGGCTAAGGGATGGGCAGCTGCTTCCCAACCTCAGCGGAACCTGTGGGAAGCAGTCCGAGGCAGAGACGACTAGCAGGGTCTCAGAAGAGTCCTGCAGGGCTGAATGCCGCGCGGCTGGCAGGGCCAGGGGCGATTCCGGTCTCGCCAAGCACAGGCGGCTTTGTGCAGCACTCATTGCCTGGGAGAAAGGCAGCCTGACAGCGCCACAGCAGTCACTCACCTGCTGGCCCCTGGGGTAGAGCCGCAGCTCCTCCAGGGTGAAGTGCAGCCAAACGGGTGAGGGCTGGCGAAGAATCAAACGCACGGCGGTCACCTGATCCACATCACACAGCAACTGCCAGAGACAACAGGGCAGCAAGAGCTGCGCTGCAGTGAGGGGGTTGGGTGCTAGTTATTTAGAGCCAGGGGCACAAGGGCTGCCAGCTCTGGTGAGGTGACGGAGCTACAGGGGGCAGAGCGAAGCCCGATGCGGGATGGCTAGACAGGAGGAGTTATAGATGGGTGCCAAGAATCGCACTCCAGGCCCTTTCCACCAGGCAGGATAAGGACGAGGACTGGCAGCTCAGGGTGGGCCCCAGCACTATGGTGCTGGTGGGGGTCCTAGCACTATCGCAATGTAATAAACCATCAGGTCTGTCAGCCTTGGAGACAGCCCACATCCCCAGCAGCAGCCAGAGGGGAAGCAGAGGTTTTAGTGCCAAGAATTCCATTGGGCAATTCAGCTGCTGCCCCCAGCACTGAATGACAGCTGGCTCTGGGGTAGAGCCCTACAACACTACACAGGATTCAGGGAGGAGTAAGAGATCCTGATTACACCACAGGGATCAGGATTCCCAACATCGAGTTTGCTCTTATGAGCAGCACCATGGGATCTGCTGGGACAAGCAGCCCGTGCCTTGCTTTAGTGCTTCAGTCGCAGCCCAGCACTAAGGGCAAGCAAGCCCCCTGCGAGCCCCAGCTGGCCTGCCTGTACCACCTGGCTTCTCCCCAGCACTCTCTCCTCTCCGGAGCGGCAGGCCCAGCCCAGCTGCACTTGTGCCGGCTGTGGGCAGTGGTGGCCAAGGCACAGTCAGGGCTCTGCTGCTGCTCTAACTACAGGGGAATCAGCTACCATAGGCCCAGCCCCCCAGTCCCAGTGGCACCAAGAGTCCTGACCTGATGCCTGAAGAGAGAGAAGTAATCCTGGGAGCCGGCCTCTGTGTGCGGGCTGGGCATCAGGCAGTGATTCCACAAGCAGGTGACCCACTTCCTGGCGCTGGCGCGCCCCACATCACAGGGGCGGCGCCGCTGCACTCGCACAGTCAGGAAAGCCGTGTAGGAGTTCTTAAAGACGATTTCCTGCAACTGAGACAACCCAGCGCGCAGGTCACGAGCCTGCCCCAGGGGGAGAGCCTGTCCTTTGCTGCCTAGACAGGCAGGTACCCACCCGGGGAGAGCCTGCCCTCTGCCACCTAGACAGGCAAGTAGCAATCCACTGGGCCTCCTTTGAGCCACATCTTCAATCCACCAGTGAGTCCACTCAGTTCGATGGGCAGCAGGAAAGGCATGGGGATGACCAGCTCTGCAGAGCTGGATTCTCCATCCCCAACACTGTTTAAATCCAGACTGGACAGTGTTCTAACAGAGCTGCTCTAGGAATTATTCTGGGAACATTCTCTGGCCTGTGCTATGCGGGACGTGTGGGTAGATGTGCACAATGGTCCCTTCGGCTTCACAACCTGTTTCTCTCTGAACGCACAGCTCCTGGCCCCAAGCTTGACACAGTAAATAGAAATATGACAGTTGAAAACCTACCTGTCCCTCAGACTCTTCGATACAAGTTACTCACACTTAGAAGCTTGCTTCAAAGCCCTACGTTTTGCTATTCTCGTCCGGCAGCATCCCTAGTCCCAGGGAGATGGCTGTGGCTCTGCACTACCTGCCTCTGGTCTCTGCTCTGAAATCCAGCCCCTCTGCTACACTCCGGAGACTGGAGAACTGGGACACACAGTGGTGCTCTCCCTCAGCTTCTGTGTCATTGCCATGGCTCTGGGACAGGCTGGTTCACTGGCTGGACCTAAAACTGCCCTCCTCCCAACTCCGACCTGGGAAAGGCTAGTTATTAAGAGCTGCCTGCAATGTGCTGCATAAGGTGCCCCAAGTGCCCAGCCAGTCCCCGTCCATCCGGCTGCATGCAGAGCCTTTCCCCTAGTGGAGACTAGGTCCTCAAGTCCTCCCACCCAGCTACTTCAGGGTGGAGCAAGCGGCATCTTTCCTTCCAAAACCCATGGGAATGTCCTCGAGCCCCAAGTGTACAATAGCCCCCTGGCATTCAGCCACCAAATGCTGCTTTTTGTCAGGAGAACAGCGTGCCCAGGTGGCTTTGTTATTCCCTGTCTCCGTGGCAGTGCCCCTTCCTGGCATGCTTTGGACATGTCGCCCTGTCACTGGCTGCAGTGGGAGCTGCTCAAGCACACACCCAATGGCACCTGGGTCCCCATGGATCAGATGCCCACCTGGGGTCCATCTGCCCCGAGAACCCTACCCAACCCTAGTGTCCAAATGAGTGTGCTGAGCAAGCCGGGGCTCTGACCTTAGCTCGCTGCTGCATCAGGGCACCCAACAGCATGCAGACTGGCACCCGATGGGGACCTGGGCAGCCCTGCTACCCAGGGTTTCCCCAGAGCTGCCCTATTCCTCCTGAGGGACCCTTCGCATCCCAGAGAGTTTTTTGGGAGCCCAGGGCCCTACCACAGCTACCCGGCCCCGTAGACATTGCAGCAGCCCCCCCGCCTCGCCCTGTGACTGTCACTAAGCTCCCTCCCCCCCCCATGGTGCACGGGCAGGAGGGGCGGAGGGCCACGCGCGACCCCCCCATAGCCCGGGCAGGGGCTCACCCCACACGTACATCCAGGGGCTGGGCGGGGGGCAAGGCCACATCAATGACGGCCACGCCAGGCTGAGCCAGGTCCGTCTTCACATCTCCCACCTGCAGCGCCACAGGGCTGCGGACGGTGCACAGGGCTGGGCGGGTCGCCATGGGGCGGCTGTGAGAAGAGAACAGCAGGTCAGGCAGCACTGGGGGGGAGTGTTTGGAGGGGACTGGCCTGGCCAGGGAGGCCGTTCGGGGGAGCTGTGGTCGTTCGGGAGGGTGAGGAGGTGTTTGGAGGGGGAATGGGCTGGCCGGGCAGGGGGTGTTTGGAGGGGGCTGGAAAGGGGGAGGAGCTTGGCTGGCCTGGAGTGTTTGGACTTTGGAGGGGCCTAAAAAGGAGGGAGGGGCTGGGCTGGCGGGGGCCCATTTGGGGGAGCGGGGATGTTTGGAGGGGGCTGGGGTGGGCGGAGGGGACGCTCTCACCCCGCTCCGTGTCCCGGGTTCGGCGCCGGCGGTTCCATCCAACATGGCTCCGGGGCGGGGCTGGCGGAGTACAGCGCTCGCCCCCGCCTGTCTCCATGGAAACGGCTCGCTGGGGACTGCGGTTGCGGGGGCCTGGATGGCTGGGGGGGCTCTGGCTGGGGGAACTGGGGGTCTGGCTGGGGGACGTTGGGGCCGGATGGCCTGGGGGGGGGTCTGGCTGGCCTGAGGAGTCTGGCTGGGGGGGGCATTGGGGCAGACGGAGGGGGTCTGGCTAGGGAAGCTGGGGAGTCTGGCTGGGGCTGGGGGCAATCGGGCTGGATGGCCTGGGGGGGGGTCTGGCTGGGGGGGCATTGGGTCTGGCTGGGGGGTATGTTTAGGGGGCATTGGGTCTGGCTGGGGAGTGCTTGGTCTCCCCCTTGTACAGCTTTGACCCAACAAGGGAGCAGAGTCTGAGCCCTGCTCGCCAGGGTACCGGGGTCATGGGCTGCCTGGCTTACCTGCCCGGCTCTCCTCCGTACCATGATCCCACAGGGCTTTTCTCCAGCCCCTCCCCAGCTCCATCTGCTAACCTGATCCCCCAGGAAAGCCTCACACCAGCATAATGCCATTAGGCTTCAGAGTGAATTCCCCAACAGCCATGACAAGGGAGTTCCTGTGCCGCTGCTTGAGCTGTGCTTAGGCACCTTTTAAAGGTTTTCTTTACAGCCAGTAGGACTAGGATGCTGTAAAGGAAAGCTCAGCTGCTGCCCGGTGTGACATAACGTGCATCTCCACAGGCGTACTGCCACCGAGCTGGGCGGAAAGAGGGTGGCGAGCAGGGCCCTTATCAGCGGCTTGGTCCGCGCCCCGAGTACCCCCAGCTCACTACGGCAAGCTTGCCAAGCAGCGCTAGGTCTGTGTCACGCGGGCGCCCCTTTCTGCCTGGGGGGATTTGCCCCCTGAGGTCAGAAGGGACGATTATGCTCATCCAGTCTGGCCTCCTCAATCATCCAGGCCAGAGAACCTCCTCTGGAGAATCCTGCATCCAGCCCAGTGGCTAGTGACTGAGCCAGAAAGGATCTTAGGGATCCAAAGAGAGAGAGAGAGAGAGAGAGAGAGACCCCTGCAGTCCCCTCACGCTGTCGCCTTCCCTTCACTGTTTCCTTTCCTAGCTGTCCTCTCCCATCTCCTCCCCTTAGCAGATGGATGTTGTGCATTCAGCTCTGAGGTTCATGCCCTGGGAGCAGTGGTTATTGGTGACACACACCTGTGTGCGGTTCCTATTTCCGAGGTTCCCTGTCTCCCACCCCCAGGGGACGGCTCGTGCCCAGATGGTCTCTTTATCCCAGATGATGATGGGATTGTGTCTCCAACATGAGAGTCCTCACTGGGGTTCCCAACTGGAGAGTGAGCGAAGCAGTGGGCACCCTCTGGAGCCACACAGAGAGAAACCCCATCTGTGCACTGACTGTGGGGGGGCATCACAGCTGGTGTTGCATCAGAGACAATCCACCGGATAGAAACCAGCAGTGCCACATCCTCTGGGCCCACGAGGCCCCATCCCACCAGACATGTTCTGCATCACACGCCATTTGAGGCATGTGGGGTCAGCTGTGAGTTGTGGGCTTGGGGGAAGGGAGCATATTCCTGGAGTGATTAATTGCTTGGGAATCATGTAATGGGAGGCATTGGGGTGAAAACCAGAGGAGAAAGATTCCTGGCTGCAACCCTGGCCTGTTGGGTGACCTTGGGCAAGTCACTGCCCTGCTCTCTGCCTCAGTTTCCCTATCAGTAAAATGGGGATAATGTTACTGACCTTTGGAAAACATTTTGTGGTCTCGTGATGAAAAGCACTAGATAAGAGCTGGGTCTTATTATTACTTTATTGATCATTGCGTAGGTGCCAGTGATCATGACTTGATTACATTTGTCATGTGCAAAGAGAATAATGTCCAAACCAGTATAATTATATCTACACTTGTGCTTTAAAAGGGCCAGTTTAACAAAGCTGAAAACAGTGACGCGTCAAATGAGCTGGGAGAAAGGATTTAATCAGAAAATTGTGAATGATATTTTGGAGTTGTATAAGAACATTGTACTAGGTGTCCAAAAAGCCAAAATTCCCCAAGCAAGAAAGGCTACACAGGTGAAAAAAAACCCAACAACCTGGCTTAGAGGAGAAGTGAAAGCAGCTATAAAAAAATACAATGTGTAATGTATGGGGGGAAATATAAATTAGATGCTAGGAATTGTAGAAAATTGCTAAGGGAAGCAAAAGGACACTAGGTGTTATCTATGGCCAGCTGAGTTAAGGACAATAAAAACACATTGGAGGGGGCTGGAAAGGGGGGAGGGGCTGGACTGTCCGGGGGGGGGCCTGTTCAGCAGGGGCGAGGGGTATTTGAAGCGGGGCTGGGCTGGCCAGGGGTGTTTGGAGCGGGGCTGGAAAGGGAGGAGTTTGGCATTGGTGTGACTGCTGCTGGAATCCTGTGTCCAGTTCTCGTGCCCACAGTTCAAGAGGATGTAGAAATATTGGAGAGATTCAGAGAAGAGCTGCCAGAATGATGAAAGAATTGGAAAAACCTGCCTTACAGTGAGACTTAAGGAACTCTGTCTATTTAGCTTAGCAAAGAGAAGGTTAAAGGATATGGATGGTGAGTTCTATGGACCCGTGATGCCTGGGCACCAGGAATATTCCTGGCCCGTGGCCCGGCTACAGCAATATTTGAGGCTAGGTCTCTCCCTCGGTCCCACCTTCCACCCCCGGGCGCTCCCCCCGCACATCCCCTGGGTGATTTTAAATGGCCTGGGGCCGCCACCCACCACCGGCAGCACAGCAGAGCTGAGTGGCTTCCTGCCTGCTCGCTCCACGTGGCTGCCGGCCCCTCTCTGCAGCCCCTGGGCGGGGTGGGTCTGTGTCTACACACACTGCTCCCGCCCCAAGCCCCCCTGCGGCCAATAGGAAGCTGTGGGGGCAGTGCCTGGGGGTAGCAGCGTGCAGAAGCCCCCCGGCCCACTCTGCCTAGGAGCCCCAGGTAAGCGCCACACCCCTCCACCCCCTCCCAGAGACTGCACCCCCACCCCTTTCCCACAAACGCCCGCCTGTCCCCAAATTCCCTCCGAGAGCCTGCACCCCCTAGCCCAGAGCCTGCACCCAAACTCTGTCCCAGAACCTGCACCCCTCACCCCCTCCTGCACTCCCACCTCATGCCCCAGCCCCTTCGCACTCCCTCCCAGAGCCTGCACACAAACTCCCTCCCAGAGCCTGCACACCTCACCCTTCCTACACCCCCACCCCTTACCCCATCCCAGAGCCTACACTCAAACTCTGTTCCAGAGCCCACACCCCCTCCCATCCCCAAGCTCCCTCCCAGAGCCAGCGCCCTCCCCCCCAGCCCAGAGCCTGCACCCCTCACCCTGCACCCAAACTCAGTCCCAGAGCCTGTACCCCTCACCCTGGCCCCTCCTGAACCCCCACCCCCTGCCCCAGCCCAGAGCTTGCAACCAGCACCCAAAATCCCTCCCAGAGCCTGTACCCAAGACCCCCTCCCCCACCCAAACTCCCTCCCAGACCCCAAACTCTTGCCCCTTCTGCACCCAAACTCCCTCCCAGAGCCAGCACCCTGCACCCCAATTCCCTGCCCCAGCCCAGGGCTTGCACTCCAGACCTCCTCCCCCCACCCAAACTCCCTCCCAGAGCCTTAGGCAGGGGGGCAGAGTTTGGGGGGGCAGGCTCTGGGCATTCTGGGCACCACCAAAATTTCTTCAAACCTGCCGCCCCTGTTAAGGGATGACTTGATCATAGTTTCTAAGTACCTACTTGGAAGCAGAAATTTTATAATGGGCTCTTCAAGGTCTAAAAAGATCCAATCTTTGGAATTTGGAACCAGACAAATTCAGACTGGAAATAAGGCACACATTTTTAATAGCCAAGTATTGTGGCAGATTCCCCATAACTGGCAATTTTTAAACCAAGCCACTCTCTGAACTGTTTTGTAATGTATTGTGGAAGAACTTGTCTGTCCTTGGCTTGTGTGTGGAAGTGTTTTTAGCCCACCAAGTCAGTAACCAGGAGCCATGGGAGGAACTTGCCTGACCCTTGAGCCCCAGGACACAGGGAGGCCATAACAGTCCAGAAATAGGTTGCCATTGCCATATAGAGGCTGGCCGCCCCAGACTGCTGCAGGTCCAGGGCTGGCTTTAAGCCGATTCGGCCGATTCCCCGGAATGGGGCTCCGCGCCTAAGAGGGCCCCGCAACGTCCGGGGCTGCCGGCGGAGTGAAAAAAAAGGAAAAAAAAGCCACGTCCTGCTTCTCCCCGCTCCCTCTAGCGCTTGCGCCGCCATACAGCTGATCAGCGCAAGCCTGGGAGGGAGGGGTGAGGAGGAGGAATGCGGCATGCTTGGGGAAGAGGCGGGGCCAGGGTGGGGATTTGGGGAGGGATCCAATGGGGCAGGGAGGGGGCGGGGCCAGGGCAGGAATTTGGGGAGGGATCCAATGGGTCAGGGAGGGGGGGGAGAGTCGGGGCAGGGTGGGCGTGGGGCCCCGCACCTGCTAAAGCCGGCCCTGTGCAGGTCAGTGGCTGGTCAGTTTGGTGGTGACAAGCCAACCCTCGATGTTGTGATGATGGAGGTTTGGGAGCTGATTATTCCTGTGGTTTGCCCTCGGGTGGTGGCGATTACTAAGGGCCCTGAAATACTGGCTGGCTTTGAGCAGATGGCCTTCCCAAGTCATGTAGGCCAGGGGTAGTCAATTATTTTTTTTCAAGGTCCAAATTTCTTGGTCAAGGTATAGTCAAGGTCCATACTCTAGAGAAAATGTAAAAAAATTATAACAATAATAATGATAAGTAAGTAAGTAGAAAGATTTCAGGGTTCGTTCAAAGCGTCTAGCGGTCCGGATTTGGCCAGCAGTCTGCCTATTGACTACCCCTGGAGTAGGGGCCTTTGCTGGCACTCGTGTTCTCATTGTCTGCCTAGCACAAGGGGCACAGGAATATGGCTGCTGGAAAGCATACTGCTCCCTTGTTACGTAGCCTTTGGTCAACCATGGGGGGATTCATGGGCACAGCATGGGATGCACTGGCCA